CTAAGGATTTTATTTTCTGTCAAACTTTTCTTATTTTTCTCTTTGATTTTTTTTTTTTTTTAGCTAGGATATTGCTATGGCCCAGGTTGACATCAAAAGAGCAGTCTTCTTACCTCAACATGACAAGTATCAGGGTTACAAGTGTATACTAACATATCAGGTTAATATTTCATTTTTTGAAATCTAGCAAAACATCCACTAAAACAACACCCACACAAATAAGCAAATAACTTTGAAACAATCTTAGCTCTTGCAGTGTTCCCACATTTTTCCTACAACTGGTTCATTTATTCACTGTACACTTTACACACATTTCTTGGTCACTGTTTTGGGAACTATACATTGATTCCTGAATCTTTATTTGAAATATTTTACACTTACTTCACTGAAAATTAGTACTTCAGCTGATAATACAGTTTCTTTGCAGGCTCTTCCACATATTGAATCCAAAACCTAGCTTTGTATCATAATCTCATTTTTAAGGGCAAATGTAACTGGATTTTGGTGATTGAGTCTATATTCATTGGAATTAGAATTTCTGTACTCTATCATGTCTTTCTTGATAAGTGACCCTCAAGCAAGCAGAAGATCTTATAAAAGGTATTTCAATTATTTTTAAGATAGCTACACTAGAATCACATTAATACTCAGTAATAACTCCGGTGGCAAAATATGCTGTTGTATTTTACCTATATGAAATGTTCATTATCTATATTTTGAGAATTCTGAATTTTATAATAGTGAGAAGCTTCATCAAAGTGGCCTTTTTTCCAAATGTGTTCACATAATATTATAGAGATTGAATCTAGTGATTATAATTAATTTAAAAATCAAAAGACAATTTTAAAAACCATCTTTTAATTTAACCATTAACGTAGACTTATATAAATGTGTGAGCATGCTCAGTACATATATGTGTAATATCAATGTATTTATAAAAACAAAATTTTAAGTTATATATATGTATACTTCACAAATTTAAATAATTATATATATGCAAAATTGAAGGCCTTTCAACTTATATACATACATGTGTGTTTATGGCAAAAGTACTGAATTTTCAAGAATCTGAAATTTTTTTCTGTTCTGGGTACCAACATACCAACTAACTTCTGAGTATCATTGCTTTAACAATTTCTAACACTTGGGCTTATGTTTTGTTTTTTAGTAATACTAGAATCACCTAAAATCCTTGATCTTCTATGTAGTTATGACATGAGTATGGAAAACTGTTCTTTGTTATCTATTGTAAAATTTGATAACTCTAAAATTTATAAATGACTGAATGGACTGAAGTCAAATGTTTGAAAATGCTCTTGTAGTTTTTTTGATTCTGTTTTCTATCAATTACACCAATTATTTCTTTGAACATTCAGAAATTGTCTGAATTTAGTACATAAAATGAATGTAACTAATCATTTAAAAGAATTCCCATGTTATTTCATAAACTCTTCATATTTTACAATGCTTTACACTTTGCAAAATACATTTAGTTAATCTCATGAGCATCATAAATAAATAATATAGTCAATGACTCTGTTTAAATAATGAAGATATAAAAGTATAAAGAATCACCCTTGTGTCTATGGCTCAGACAAGTGTGCTTACATTTAATTCCTGGAACAGGTTTTTTGACCTTGGATGACTAATATTAAAGAAGAAAAGTCTGGTAAAATATCACAAAAAAATAATTCACATTCCAGGTCCTGAGAGAAAAATGAGATCACATGTACACAGCAAGATAAACATGACAATATACTTGGTTCATCTAAGCATTCTTCCTTTGGTCACCAAGATCTTTCTTCCAATGTAAATGCATACTTGAACTCAGAAAGAGGCATAATGTACAACCTTAGTCAATTGACAATTTATTAATTTCTTTTTAGTTGCTTCAAACTTGCCAATGTTTCCAATATGCCACATCTATAGATATTCAGATAAGTGTCATTTTCCGGTAAACTCAAAGTCAGCATTGCAGTTTAAATGTGTGGAACTATGACACACATTGATTTCTGCTTGAATTTATAATGGGGATTTCTCTATTAATTTCTAAAATCACAGCATTAGATATCTTTTGTGTGTTCATGACTTACCACATTTCCTTGCAAAATATCTAATTAAATTCCAAATTCAAAGGCTGTAAATCCTATTGTATTCTTTATTGTATTCAAGAATTGGAGTTTTACTATCAATGTTGATCAATTGTATTTAGTTACTACAAATGATTGAAATGAATTTCCCTGTCAAAATTTTACATATCACTGTATGTATGCAAACTATTGATTGTGAATAATTAAGCATGCCAATTTAATATCAAAATAAAAGTAGACTAACAGAAAGTACACAAACTCATGAATTAATTATCACATCTTTTACTTGCCTTCAGCTATCCCTGACCTGAAAGAGTTAAGGTGAAGATTTAATCAACCATAATTAAATTAGATTAACTAAAAATAAACTTTAAATGATGATTAAATAAAGCAATAAGAGCAATTAAAACAGTGTATAGGTCAACAGATGTAAGGTTAAAATTGAAAATGTGATGATTAATATTTCTTGCTAGTGCTTAAAGAATTTACAATGTTAAAACTGAATTGTTTCCACTGAAATGAACTCCTGGAACCCAGTGACAGAGATGGAGGAGTGATGAGCAAAGGGGTCAAGACCATGATGGTGAAACCCACAAAGACAGCTGACCAGATAAGGGGGAGTTCTTGATACCTGAGAGGCCAACAGGGGACTGATCCAGACTCTATAAATGTAGTGTCAGTGAGGAGGCCACAGAAATCACTGGGGCCTTTGGTAGTAGAACAGTGTTTACCCTGGTGTATGAATGATCTTTGGGAGCCCGTTGAAATAGAGGGATGCTCTCTCAGCCTGGACACATGGGAAGGGGCCTAGGTCCTTCCCTGGATGAAAGGCGTTCCTCACCCTCCCAGGGGAATGATGTTGGGGTTGGGTGTGGGTCCAGAGGGACTGGTTGAGGGACAAGGGAGGAGGGATGGGAGAGGAAGCTGGGATTGACATGTGAAGCATTCATGTTTCTAAATTAAATACAAATATAGTGAGGATAAAGAGCTAAATTGTTTCCCTTACATCATGTGCTTACTGTGTTGGTGGTTCCATTTCTGCTTGTGAGTTTTGTGAAAGATGTTACTCATTCCTCCTATACAACTCTCCTTCCTATTGGTGAAGAACAGTTGTCCATGCCTGTTCATTACCAGGGCAAGTATAGATGGATTTTCTATAGACTTAAGGTAACTGAAAATTTTTAGGGAGGGTAGATCATGCGCATTCTGTACCCAGCCTCAACTGTAGTCTTTCCCAGCAAAGCTTTATAACAAAGGCACAGGGACCAAGGTCCACTGAGTAAATTACTGGTACATTGATGTTTACAGGTCAATTTTTTACTTGATTTTGGTTAGTTGCTGCCAATGGTTTAATGTCTGGGATATTGTTTACATTTTTATAATGAGTTAAACTTATACAAAAAGTAATTAAGAAAAGGTACTTGGGAGTATTTTCTCAATATACATAGTAATAAATGAGCTCCAATTATATTTTTAAAGAATTAAATATTTAAAGTAGACATTACTTTATACACGATAAATTGCTATTTTGTAGAAATGAAAAATATTTAAATATGTAGAATTCTTACCCAGTTTTCTGAACTAGACTTTGTTAAGACACTGATTATCACAATAAAGTATTTCCCTTCTATTGACTCTTACTTCCATGGCAGTATCTGTGTTTATGTAAATAATTCTTCTAGGATCATTATTTGATAGTATATTTATTTATAATGTAGCTATATTGTTAAGTTATGGCTTTATGAAATAGCTCAGGGCTTAGAGATCAAGTATGGCCACATAAAATTTTAGTTCAGGTAGACCAAAGATTGAGTAAAGAGGATTGCTATGAATATGAGGCAACCATAGGCTCTAGGATAGGAGCCTTTCAACAAAATAAAAAGAAAACCAACAGATAAAAATCATATCAATGTGAGTGAATTTGGAGAATGAGATTTGACTGCTTAAAGTACGATGACAAATTTAAACCACTAAATAATAAATATGTGCTTAAATGAAGTTTGGAAATTCCCTCAATTTATGTAATAGTTCATCTCTTCAATAAACTGATACAATCGTTTAGCTCTGAATCATTATGACAGAAATGGCATCATGTTTTAGAACATAAAAGAAAGCTAACGTAATACATAATAAAATATTTACCTCATTGATGTTAAATTTTGAATGTTATAAAAATTCTGGCCAGGCGGTGGTGGCTCACGACTTTAATCCCAGCACTCGGGAGGCAGAGGCAGGCGGATCTCTGTGAGTTCGAGGCCAGGCTGGACCGACAGCCTCCAAAACAATACAGAGAAACCCTGTCTTGTAAAACCAAAAAAAATAAATTCTGATAGTAAGGACTTTTTTCCCATCTAGTTTCAGCAATTTCAAGAGCTACCACAGAAACAAATAATTATATGATATATGCAAACAATTTCAAGCCAGTACTTAAAGTAAAACCATTGTTTTTCCTCAAGCTGTCATTAACACAAGATGGACAGAATTTAAAGGGTAAAATCCATTCATTTTACAAGATGAGAAAATATGCATGAAAATGTTAGCTTCCTTCTGTAAAAATCAGTTACACCTATATTTTGTGATATGTGTTAAAATCATATGCTTTGAGACCACTGTCCCCTATAGTAACGATCTCATTTTCTCCCAGGCATCAGGGGATTTGTAACAAATTATTTTCTCATTACTATGCAAATTCAGTATCTATATAATTCTGACATCACAATCTGATTTTATTGAAGTAGGTAAATAGGAAGGTTGTTTTAATTTGAAAAAATTTCCTGTATGTCTAAGAAGTATCAATATGACATTATAATCTGTTGGAAAATTTGATGCATATGACTGTGAAAAGAGCAAGAACTGTAGTAGCTATTTAGTCATGGGACAGCATCTAAATAAGTTATTCAACTAAAGGTCTGTTGGCAGATAATCAAATTTATTGAATTACTCAGAATATGAAGCTGAAGGCCTCTTTCATATATTCAATTTCTAATGATGGACTGAAAGTTACAAAATGCTACGTAGCTTCTCACTTAATCAACATAATATTCTTTTTCTCAATTTTGCTTCTCGTAAGGTAGAATTTTAGAACACAAAACATACCCAGTGTTACCTCTACATTTACTCAAAACCCAATAATTATTTAATTTTAAATAAATAAAGAAAAAATAAATCCATTCTTTCTTACTTATATTCACAGTAAACTAGTATTAATTCAGGAAAAATAAGTACATTTATTATTGTTTACAAGTCAGCTTATTCTGAGACCTCCACCTTGATCTTAAACACATGTGATTACTTGAAATCTCTGCCTTCCCTTTGACACATCCAAACTATAGAGATACTACACATTATTCATTACTTGGGGACACAATGGACTGAAAATATATGGTATCATACATTTAAAAATATATTTAAAAACTCAATCTTTCAATCAATGTGTTACACCAAAATAAGCTGGGAAACAAGTCTTTTAGAGCATACAGAACTCATGATTTTGGAAAGTAATTCATGTATCAATGAAAAATATCAACTCTCTCCAACGCCTTACTGAAACTCAAATAGCTTATTGCCAGTTTTGTACTCTCTAGTGGCTCAGAAGAAAAATGTGAACTTCCATGGAGCTATGCTCCTGTTTGAGATGTGAGAGGAAATGAGGCTCAGTTGCAGTGTAGTTATTTCTCCATTTCCATGCTTCATCTCCTTACTGTAGTCCAAGCTGCAGAAAACTCAGCATGTCCTGATGAGCTTAATACCATGAGGCCATAAGATGAACCTGAATAGATTGGAGACTGGAGTCCCAAAATAAACACAATACTATGTGTCAAATAAAAATATATTCTCCTGTACAAATCAGAAGAGATAATAAAAATTAATGAATAGACAGCAACTATGTTTTTAAAACATACCTACACCAGATTTCAAAACTTGGAACTTGGAGAATTATTAACGATTTTTTCTCTAATGGGACCACCTTCTAAAATTGTTGACAAAACTATGATTTATGTTGTCTTAAATTAAACTTTATTGTTTTTTATTGAAAGTCTCACTAAGATAAGATATTATGAAGATTTGTATATTCCTAAATAAAATATTTCTGTGTACCAACAGCAATAAAATCATGTTGAATTCTATCTTATAACAAGCATAAAAGCTTCAGTAGAAGTAAAATTCTTCCAAGATTTTATAGGCAAGAAGTTCTGGGATTTTTCAAGGGCACGCCATGCTCTATTCTTCACAGAGAGGGTACCATGAATATTTGTACAGGGTATCCTTGATTAACTGACAACACAGGACATGACTTGATAAGGCAGTTTAGGTGCCTTTGCAAGTATAGGAGAGTTGCTATCTATTCAAAAAAAACCTAGGTATTCCTTTTTATCAAAATAAATAAATAAATAAATAAATAAATAATAGACTTCAAATGCTCAGACTCTGTGGTCAGTGAAAACCCTTGTATAATATAATGAATGTTTTAGGAAGGCAGAAACCTTAACAGTTAAAATGGAGATATATTTACAATCTCTTTTGTCCCACAAGTAAAGTTCTTGTTTACTGTATGTAATACTTCCCTCTTTTCTTCTCTTTTAAAGTTGTTCTTTTTTTATTTCTTCTTCTTTTTTCTGCTCCCTTTTTATTCAGTACATTTCAAATTAACTGTCCAAGGCTATGAGTACAAGGTCTCTTGGCCATTTCCATACATGTCAGCCAGTCGTTTAAAGCGGGGACCCCAGTCACTTAGGTAATCATAATTCTGATCAGAGTTTGAGCTGATGGAATCTAAAGAACTGAGGGATTCAGCAACTGAGCCGTTTCCTTCAAATGCGTAGGTCTGCAGAGAGTCATATGGTGGAGCCCCTGGATCCACATCAGCTTCTTTCAGTCTTTCCCAAATAAATTCCCTAAAAATGACATTATCTGGGATGCTTTTAAAAGTCGGTCGACTCAAGAACTGAATTTCAGGAGTCACATCTCTGCGGGTTTTGGTGTCTCGTATGACGTTGAGGTTTCTCAGCGCAGCCATGTCAAAGGCTTCCGTGTCTTCTTCTCCCCCGCCTTCGTCATCATATCTGACGATGTTTTCTCTAATGTCCCTCTCCTCGTCAAAAATGAGAGGCTCTTTTTTTCGTCTTCTCATAGTGACAATGAGGAGGATCAGCACTGAAACGAGAGATGGCAAAGAGAAACGTAAGCTAGTGAAGCCCAAGACTCACATTCTATCCCCTAGTAGAGCAACCAATTGGTTGCCCTGTGTCATGGAGATTCAATCAGCAGATGTGCTGAAACTACAAGCGAGGGCTGTAAAACGAAATGCTTTTACAAACCATAAAAATCTTTTTTAAGCCTGTTCACTACTGATGTCTGCTGTAACCTCCAAAATACTTGATAGAAATAATTGAAGGGCCAGTTCAGAATAAATATAATACTTTCAAAGCCACACAACATAAAGGGCGCCTTTGAACTGCTTCATTGCTGGGAAGGGAAAATGTCATTTGCAAATGTTTTGTATCTAATATAACAAGTGCAATGCCAGACAGATATGGATAAGAGAATTTGATCAGGTTCTTTGAAGAAATGTCTGGTCCTTGTTATGAAATTCAGCTGTTTAATGATATCCAGCTTGCCATGCCATGTAGCAAGATTAAAAGCTTCTATAATAAAGTGAGTCCCAGTTTTGAGTGTGAAATATTGACCCGGTACTCTGTATTAAACCCAAAGACAGAAAGCAGACTGTGAGACTTTCAGCAATGGCCAAAGACTTAAGAAAGAAATTATTTTTAACATTAAGGATTTTTATCCCTCATAAAAATACATGGTAAATGTTGAAATGTACAGTATCTCTGGAATGCAAAGGAGAGAAACACAATAGTCCTGAGTGTAACAGAGATTAAGTGCATTCTGCATTGTTAATTCACACAATCTTACTGTGCTTCCCTCTCCTGGCTCCAAGACTTGTAGTAAAATGGGATAAAAAGGGTGTTTAGAAATTTGTGATTCAAAATGTATTTAAAACAACACAAAAGTATAAATTGTCTTTCTAATTAAAATATTTGTTTTCAATTTGTGTGCATGGATATTTTTTCCTGCATGCATACCTGTATACCTTGTATGTGCCTGTTGCTTGTCAGGGCATTAAATTTCCCTGGAATTGGAGTTACCGAGTGCAATGAATGACCATGTGTTTGATGGAAATCAAGCCCGTGTCCTCTGGAAGTCAACTAGCTCTTTTAACCACTGAGCCCTATCTTTGGCCAAATCTTTATATCTTAAATGCCAAAATGTGTCTTTATAATTCATATTGAATTTTCTTGAAGTTTCCAGAAATTTTAGAAGACTGACATATACATATCATTATATTACTTTTTGGGTTATATTATTCTCATCCTATTTTTAAGTGTGTAAGTGGGTAGGGTAGAGAGGGAGGGAGGTGAGGAGAGACAGAGAGAGAGAGAGAGAATTCACATGAGAATGCAACACTGTGCATGCAGATGTCTGAAAACAGGTGTGTCAGGTGTGAAGCCTCACTTCCTCCTTGTTTGAGATATGTTTCATTTGTTTACTCCTGTATAATAACAACTACCTGGCCTACAAACATCGGCGGACTTTTTTTCTCTTCCTTCCACACCACTATAGGAGTGCTCAGGATATAGGCCTGCGCTACCGTGCTTGGCTTTTATGTGCTTTCCTCAGATTCATATTCAGGTCTTCAGGTCGTGTAGACGCATGTTTCCCTGTGAGCTACATCCTTAACACTCAGCATATTTTTTAAAAAGGAGGTTAGTGGGCAAGAGGTTGCAGCACCCTGATAGAGTACTTGTCCACCATGTACAATGCATTGTGTCTGATGTCTAACACTACAAAATGTGAAAACAAATAAGTGGCTTAGAATAATTATAAAGTACTCTTGCTGTTAAGAATGTATAAAGGACCATGTTGAAAAGGTATGGAGAGAGTGGACAGCCTTGTTTTGTTCCTGATTTTAGAAATGACACACTATGCACACCCCCATGGAGGGCCTCACCCTCCCTGGAGAAATGAGGGGATAACGGGGGGGGAGGGCACGGGAGGAAGGGAGGGAATGGGAGAGGGACCTGGAACTGACTTGTGAAGCAACCTTGTTTCTTATCTAAATTTAAACTGGAAAATAAAATTAAAAAAAAAGAATCTATAAAAAAAAAGAATGTATAAAGGAAAAACAAAGAGATTTCATGAGTGGACTGAGAGCTGGAGAGGATGGGAACATGGTTGACCAGATTGAGGGGACAGGACAGAGAGAGTGGAGCTGGGGAATAATAGGTCAATGTGAAAATCATAAGCATGAGGACCTGAATTAAAAATCACTAGCAGCTGTGAAAAAAAAAACACAGGTAGGAGCAACATGTCTGTGAGTGACAGAAACAGGCGGTACCCAGAACTGTATTCTGTCCCAAGGTAATGAGACTCAGGCTTCAGTCACTGGCAGTGTCTCAAAACATGAGTAATTGAGGAAGATATCCCTATGTCATTCTCTGTCTTCCACATGAATCTACATAAGTGAGTACATATGCATAAACATTCAAATATACTACAGTCATGCAGATAAACCCTTAATTAAGGAAAGGATCACTCCTAGATAATTCATGGCCGATACTACCAACTACTATCCAACTACATTTTTGGTCTAGGGATCTGAGACTTGAAGGAAGGAACTACTTCTGTCAGTACAAAGGAAAATATCATCTCCTGTTTTCTAAATGCCTAAACTTACACCCACATATAAATATAACTCACACTACAAGAGCAAAGATTATTTTTCAACTGATGAAACCATTAAAAAATGCACACCCAATCAGAAAGAATAAGTTGATGGTAGGGAGCCCAATCCCAAAAGATACATCTACATAACTGTCAGGGAAATTGAGTAAGAGGGAGTATAAAGTTTTTAATAGCCATAGGTCCAAGACACATGCTGATAGGCTGGGTTCCTTGGAATCAGCAGGTAAAATGCACCAATGAACTATCAACATTATGACCACTAACTATGACAAGTATAACTATGACAATTAAAGTTTATATAATGGGGCCAGGCAGTGGTGGTGCATGCCTTTAATCCCAGTACTCGGGAGGCAGAGGCAGGCGGATCTCTGTAAGTTCGAGGCTGGGCTGGACTGACAGCCTCGAAAACAATACAGAGAAACCCTGTCTCGTAAAACAAAAAAAAAAAAAAAGTTTATATAATGGGAAATTCCACAGGCCATACTTAGGATTAAGTACTATAAAGGAGAGTGATTACTGTTAGAAGGAGAATCATTTGGCCATAGGGTGTCCAATTCTAAGTCTTCATCTCTGGACACATACACATAGAAATAAAGAATAAGGGACTCAGTAGGTTTTATATGCATGTGTACACATGCATATACCAATAATAAAAACGATATAAATTTGGGGAGAAGAGGCAGAGGTTGGAGGGAAGAAAGGAATATCTCCAGCTCTTTTAAGAAATTTTCAAAAGTAAGGCTGTTATAAAACAAACTCAAATATTTGAAATTTATAGATCATGTTCAGGAACAGCAGCGTTTCACAAACTCCTCAGAATGAAAGCAGAGACAATAACCAACAGCCTAATGAGAATTCTTACTGCGTGTAACAAAAAGGATACCATACCTATTGCAGAGGTGAGTATGAAAGCAAAGAGTGCAAAGAGTATGGTGACAAAGTGTATGCACAAGTGATAACAGGTGGACATGGAGCATGGAGAACAAATGACAATAAGAATTTCCAAGAATACATGAGCTTAATTGTACAAAAGTGAAGAAAACTAGTGCTATGTGGAAATAAGACTTCTTTAAATTTAAATCAACGCCAATGTAAACAAAGCATTTCAAAATTGTCAGTCTTTCAGACAACTGATATCATGTTTTATGCAAAGGAATCATATTTTTACATTTACCGAAAAAGTAGCTCTTATATCATGTTAAACTTCATTTTATTCTACTATTAAACTTTTTGTCACTCGAGCTTTTAATAGATATGAAACCTAAGATCAGCTGATTTGGATCAGCCTCAGGTACAATATGAATATGTAGTTTTTTAAGCTTGCTTGAAAATAAGAAATATACTAGTTGTTTTGGGAGCTTGCATAATTTAGCATTTCAATGACCAAGGAGAGAATTAATTTCTAGATATTTGAGCACATCGGAAAATTAAATTTAACCTTTAAATAGAACATAGATTAACTACTATTCTATAACTTTGGAAATGACTATTGAAAAGGAATACACATTTTGGAAAGGCAAGGAAATATATAAACATGCATACTGCATTTAGAAATATGTAAAACATATTTGTGTAATTGTAACTATATGTATCATTTCATGTTGGAAGGAAATTATTTAAATAAAATAAATTTAGAAATAAAACTCGGAAAGCCGGGCAGTTGTGGCACATGCCTTGAATCCCAGCACTCAGGAGGCAGAGGCAGGTGAATCTCTGTGAGTGCGAGGCCAGCCTGGGTCAACAGAGCTACAGAAAAACCCTGTCTCAAATAAACAAAATAAAGCAAAATAAAAAGAAGTTGAACTGTGATAACTATTCAAAAGAAAGAAACCTTGTTTTCTAGATGTAGACACTGAGTAAACAGATCCAAATGAAGACATCTTTATGGAAAAGTATGCAGAGCTGAGAGCTTGGACAGGGAGGGCACGTGGTATGACACAGGATCCATGGCAAGAGGAACACAGTGATCAGGAGTTGGAGAAAAATATGGCTAGAAGGCAAATAATAGTGAGAATGCTGATGTGAAGAGATGGACGCAAAGGCACATATTTTGTAGACTTCTTATGCTACAGATTTGTGTTTCCAAATGAATAATTTCACTGAGATAATGATATCAAGTACAGAAGAGGAGACGTAAGAAAAGATTATGGGAAAAGAAATTTCAGCACAGTCACAGAGTAAAGGTTATACAGATTTAGAATTTAGTTTGATAATATTCCATACAAAATTTCTGAGAGAATCTACATGGTAAATCATGTTAAATATATGCAAAGCAGTAACAAGATATGGGAAAGTGTTCAAAGTTTCTAGGCAATATATACTCAGTGAAGAAATCACTGAGAAGATAGTATAGATTCTATCGGTAGACTGTGGTTGAATAGGAATGGGAAAGGGTAGGATCAGGT